AGGCGCACTGGTCGGCCTCGGCGCTGCGGGGGCCTGCGTCGCTCGGACCTGGAGCCAACGGTGGCGGCTGTTCTGGCACCGCGCCAAGCGGGTTGGCCTCTTTACCACCTTCGCGAGGCTGTTTGGCAAGCGGCAGAATGAGGCGGAGCTCTGCTTCGCCACGTGGAACGCCAGGGCGTTCTGCCGCCACGACCTGGAGACGGCGAAGGGCAAGGTGAGCTACGAGCTACATCAGCGAGGTGCTACGTGCTGGGACAATCATTGCCATGCAGGAGGTTTACGGGTTGGCCGTGCGGCTGCGCGCCCTGATTGATCGCGCGGGCATCGACTACCAGCTAGTCCACAGTTTTGGCAGGGACGATCGCGAAGCCTTGGGAGGCGTCGCCACGCCCTTTCCCCTTTCCCTGCTCGGCCTGGACTTGTTCTTCGGTCTTGAGCTTACGTGCGTGCTCGGGTGCGGCGGGTGAGCGCCGCAGTGGAGGCTGAGGCTGACGCAAGCCACTCAACGACGCACTGGGACATCCACGATCGTGACTTCTCGAAGGAGCAGGTCCCCCGCGTTTCTGCCGCCATCTGGTCAGAGCTCCGCCTTATGGGCGCGGCTCCTCGCAAGCATTTCGCCATCATCTCTGAGGGTTTTAACCGCGCCGAGAACGCTGAGGTGGAGGACCCTCTCGCCCCTGGCGGCGGCCCTCGCGCCGCCCTTCACCCCCGCGGCCGCTGCTGGCAGCGGGCGCTTCGCCCCGCCGCTGAGATTGCCGCCGCGAAGCCGACCCGCAGGCACCCGGGCCGCCAGCTGGCCACAACGATCGACAATATACGGATCGGAGCCCCGCGCTGGCAGCTGGCGCAGACCCGGCAGCGCGGGCAGGTTCGCGGCGAGGCTCGCGGGCCCCGCGTGCAGGGCATCTCCGACCACGCCATGTCATCGGTCGTCAGGTCGCGTCGCCCTCGACAGCAGCGGGCGACCTCGGGCAGCGTCGCGCCGATCGCCGACTTCGTCCCCGACCGCCCGCGGCGCCGCCAGCTCGCGCAGGCCTGCGAGGCGGCGGCCCCCTTGGAGGCGCTCTCCGCTCCAGAGTGGGCTCGCATTCACGCGCGGCCGCTGCAGCGACAGGCGGCAGCCAGGGGCCCCAACCTGAGAGGAAGCCCTCGAGGCAAGGCGCCTGCGGCCATGATCTGGCGCCAGCTTGGCCGCGCCGCGCGTCGCTGGGACGTTGCCCTCGCCGAGCGGCTGCTGCGCCGCCGACGGGTCATCGAGATCTCTGAGGACTCTGCTGCTGGCCGACAGGTCGATATTTGCGACTCGGCCGAGTTCCCTCGTCGCTTCCGGCCGGCGCAACATGGGGGCGCCCAGGCGCGCCTGAGGAGGCGGCAGGAGGAGATGGGCCAGGAGAGCGACGAGCGCACCAAGGCAGTGCTCATCCGCCAGCAGCGTGCCCTCCGCCGCCGCGCTGCGGCGTGGGCCCCCGCTGCTGCCGGGAGGTTCCTCGGCGCCGCGGAGATTCCCTGGGGCCTCGCCAGGGCGGGGGCCGAGGTGCAGCGCGCGTCGGCGAGCCACTGGAGGGGCGTCTCTGGCGACGACGTTGGCGCGCGTCAGGCTGTGGCGGGCCGCCAACTCCGCGCGCTGGCCCGCCGCTCTGGCCGGGCGCCCCTGACCTTCCGCCGGGGCCAGCTGGCCCCCTCCTGGGCTCGCGGCCGCCGAGGCTGGAGCTGCGGCGGAAGCAGATCCAGGAGCGCTACCTTAACAGATGCGGCATCCAGGGCGTCGGCTGGGACCTCCTGCAGGATGGCTCGGCGCGCCGTGCCTGGGCCCGACGGCCCTGGACCGAAGGCCCAGCTGGCCTCGCGGCTGGGCCCGCGGGCGCTTGCCCTGGCGACGCACTGGCAGACGGCGGGCCCCCCGACGTGCAGCTGCTGGGACTTCAACATTGCGGTCTTCCCTGCCAGTCGCGCCCGGCCGGAGGGCCCGCGCGAGGTCGCGCGCCGCGCTGGCGAGACTCGGGCCCCGGCGCTGGAGGAGAACTCCGAGAAGGCGGTCATGCGGGCCATCAGCTGGTGCATGAAGGGCTCTGCCGAGCTCCACTGCGTCTCCGCGTAGCGGGGCTTCCTGCGCGGGCGCAACTTCTGCTCTAAAGTCGTCGAGCTAGACTCCTGCGCCCGGACCGCCGCCACGAGGGCCGCCGACGCGCGTTTGGGCTTCCAGTGTGCCACCCAGACCCCCCCCTGAGGGCCCTCGGGACCAGTTTTCGGAGTGCCGTTTCCCGCTGCTCGTGTCTTTCGACGTTGGCCAGGCCTTCCCGAGCGTCGGCCGCGACTGGATCCACCCTGCCCCGGCGAGGATGCAGGCCCCCCATCGGACGGCGGGATGCCGCGCGCGCCAGTTGCGAGGGCGTGCAGGGCATTGGCGCCGCATGGTCGCGACCGTTCCTGTTCTCGGTGCGCTCCGGCATCCTGCGGGGCGACCCTGCCAGCGGCGCGCTCGATGTGCTGGCCGCCCGCCCCTTCGGCCGCGACGTGGAGATCCACGTGGACGACGGGGGTCGCGGTCGCGTCCGCTGGCGCGCGGTCGACCTGGGCGCTGGCCTCAGAGGCCGCGCAGGCGCTCGCGTCATCGCTCGCGTGTTCAAGATAGCCAGGCCCCTGGCGGGTCTGAAGATCAATCCCAGCAAGTGCTTCGGGCGGAGCGGCTCCTCGCGGATGTTTGCGAGCCCTGGGCTGCCTTCGCGGTCTGCGACGTGTCCGAGTTCGTGTGTGTCCTGAGAGGCGCCGGCGCGGAGCTGTCGGCGCAGTGGGCGGCGCCGCTCGAGAAGCTCCAGGATCGCGTGGTCGATGTCGCGAGGGCCCGGGCTGACGCGAATGCCTCGGCGTTCCTCTGCGCCGTGCCCTGCGTCGCGGTCCTCGGCTACTTGCAAGGCGCAGCTGCTGGAACCGCTGCAGGCCCTGCCCAGGCTGCCCTTCCCTCCTCTCGCGTCTCCTCCGCCTGCCTGGGTCTTTCCTCGGCGACGGCGAGTGGCGGGGTCTCCTGTCCGTCGGTGGCCCGCCGACCCGCTCCGCCACGCCGTGGCGCCAGGCCTGCCTCCTCCGATCGGCTACGACAGCGCTCGCGAGCTGGGGACAGGAGGCGTCGGCGCTGAGGACGGCCGTCCGCCGCTACCTGCCGATGGTACACTGGCTTCGCGGCTCTACCTGGCCAACCTGGTGGCGCTCGGAGGCGATGGCTATCGCCCTCGACTGGTCTGCCCAAGGCGCTGGCTCTTCGGCGCGGGCGTTCTCGGTTGCCGAGCTCCGAGAGACACTGAGGAGCGGCTGGCGGCGGGCGTCCGCGCCTTCGCGGATGGGGGGCGTGCCGCCTCTGCCGCGGCTGGTGGCGGCGGAGGCGTGGGCCGTGAGCTGCGCCCGTTAGCGGCGCATGAAGAGCGCGCAAGCGGCCCCGCTTGCGCCCACAGGCGATCCTCTGTTCGTCCCTCCTGCGATCTTTGCTCCCTTGTCCTCCTGCTCCTCCCCGTTTGCACTGTCGACCGGCCTCTCGTCTGCAGCGCTGGTTTGGGGCCCGCTGTGCCATTGCGGCGGCGATTGACTTGGCGGCCCTCGCGGCGGTGATGCGTCGTGCCCCTCCCTCCTGGCGCAGTGATTGCATCAAGACGTGGGGTGGGGGCTGGGTCTTTGAATCAAAGATGCGTAACCCGTGCAGGGGGTGCGTCTGGGGATGTCCTGCGGAGCGCGACTCGCTGAAACAATATTACGGCGGGTGTTCGCCGATGTATATGCTTGCCCGTCGCCAACTAGGATATGATCTTCCTGCGCCTCCGTTTTTGGACCCCTCTGGGCTTAATCCACTCCCATCCCGAGGCCTTGAACTATACGATGTTCTATTTCCACCTATGCAGGCTAGCCTGTAAGGAGAGTAGGGTTCGAGTTGTACCACGCGATGACGATGATGCTTCTTCTCTCGCCCGTGCAGTTTTACAGGCGGTCGAGCTGCCACTCGGCGGTCCTCGTCGCAGGAGGCCTCGTCCTCGTCGTCGGGCGCAGTCATGTCGGAGACACGCGAGCCAGAAAACGGTCCAACCTCCTCCTCTTGCGACCCAGATTGCGAAACAGTTGGGTCAGTGTGACCTACCCCGCGCAGCTTCCTAAAGGGGGGCCAAACGCCCTACCACCAGCGCTGGGAGAGCAGGCCGCCGACATCCGACGGGGCAGAGGGGACGAGGAAGAAGAAAAGGAAGAAAAGGAGAAGGAAAGAGGCGCCGGCCTCACATGTGTTGCGCGACGTGCAGCACCGACTCACTGAAGGTGAGCGGCCCCCATGCCTACTTGGCTTTTCCAGCGCCAGGTGACACTGGACACCCCCAACGGGCCACCGCGCCGGGCACGCGGTGCGGGAAGGCCATGGGTGTCCAGGCCCACCCCTGCAGACCCCCTTGCCCAATGGGGGTCAGGTGGGACCACGTCTTGAGCCGTGCCCGTCGGCCGCCCCCCCCAGCCACACCCTTGCCCCGCGACGTGACGGGAGGGCCAATACAGTGGTTGGGGCCTGCCACCATAGGAGCAGGTAGCACGCAGGACAACGCGGGGTCCCCGAGGGACCTGAGACGGCAGACCCGAACCACAGCGGGACCACCGCTAGAGTTCGCGGGGGCCGCCCCAGGTCCGTCAGGGCACCGGCGCCCCTGGCCCGCCGCGCCGCCCTTGTGCAAGCGACGTCTTGACGCATTTCAGTTCCCTCAGGAGCCTCAACGTGCCGCCCACATGCCGAAGTGTCCTCCTGGGGGCGAACCAACCTCTTCCTCCTCCTCTTCCTCCTCGTCTTCTTCCTCTTCCACATCCTCCTCCTCCTCCTTCAAGGTTACGTCGTCTCCTCCTCCTCCTCCTCCTTGCCCATGGATCGCCGAAAGGGGCCCGATGGGCTACTTCACCCAGGAACGTGCGGTTTCGCTATCAGGGGGTATCGCCGATCAATCGGCGATGCATCGCCGATTCCAGGTCGATGCTTCGCCCCTTGAGCTGGTCCCCCCCCTAGTGTTGCCCCCCAGCAGAGGCAGACGCTGGAAAACGGAGTCGCGCGTAGGAGACCGTGTGCTCCCTCTCGTTCGCCGACCGCGCCAGCCGGGCCGTGTTCGGCAACGACTGCGTGGCGGAGGTCGAGCGGCGGCAGGCCCTGGAGGACTGGGTCGTACGAAAGGGGGGATGGGGAAGAGCCCGTATCGAAAACTGCTGCGTGCAGCTGGCCTCTGCCCCACCGCCTGGCGGTTTCTTCGATATATTGGCGCCCCCAGCGCCGGGAGGCGCCCGAAAAACTGGCTACGGGAGCTGATTCGCGAACCCCCTTTTGCTACCCCCCCTCCCTGAGGGCTTGACAGTTTTCGACAATCAGCGTTTGAGGATAAAGGGCCAAATAAGTCAAGGTAAATGTAGATTTCAAGAATCTACAGATGTCCAGGACAATTTGGAGCAACCCGTGGCCGTTCCAGCGCGAGCCGAGGGACGGCAGAAGTTGTGAAGCCCTCAGCGACCCCCCGTCCCGTCCGACCCGGGAGGAGCTGCGCAGCAGATACGTGCTCCTGAGGATCGCCCTGCGCATGCTGGTGCCCAGCTTCGACCTCTCCTCGAAGCAGCGGCTCCCAGGTGATCGCTGTCTTATTCACTGTTTTGCCGACTCGCACGGGCCCTCGCACCTCCGTGGAGAGTAGATCTTGGCTGTTTTGGGCGCCTGTTTCACGCAGGTGGGTTTCCCAACAAGACGCACTGCTGCAGACAGTCGCATTAAGCATAGGTCTGGAGCCAGACCTCCCCCCCTCCCCGCCCTTTCCGCCCAATGTCGAAACGCCGAAAAAAACGCTCACCAGATAATGTCGCCTTCAACATCCTGTCGCACATGCCGCGCCACGACTGCGCCGCCATGGTGTTCGCCGGCGAAAAATATATTTGTGTCCGCGGCCCCGCGGGCCGGGCCCCAGGCAGCGACCCCTCGGATGCGGGGTGTTTTTTCAAGGATGCCCCGCGCGGGACATATCCGTGCGACCGCGTATGCGCGGGATCGCGCCCTGGAGCCCAGGCCGCGAGGGCGCGGATACGGATGTATTCGCCGCTCGTGAGGTGTGCCAGTCCTGGGCGAAGTTCTGCAGGGGGCACGCGTTGTGGGGGAACCGGCTGCGGAGCAAGACCCTCTCGGAGAGGATCATACAGTGGCTGCCGCCCTCCTCGCCCTCGGCCAGCGTCTGCAGGCGGGCGCCGGGCAAAAGTGCTGATCGATCTCCGCCGACGCGACGAACGACGACGACGACGGCCAACGACAACGACGACGATGGCGGCCGACGACGATGGACAACGACGACGACGACAGACTACGACGACAACAGCGACGACGGACGATGACGACGACGACGACGACGGCCGACCACGACGACGACACCGATCTACCGACCGACCGACCGACCGACCTACCGACCGACCGATTGACGACGACGACGACGCCGGCCGACGACGACGACGACGACGAAGTTGGATGACGAGCACGACGACGACGACGGTCGACGACCCCCACGACGATGACGGCTCACGACGGCTCACGACAATGACGGCGACGACGACGGACGACGACCGACGACGACGATGATGACGACGACGGCCGACGACGACGATGACGACGTCGGCCGATGACAATGTCGACTGGCCGACGACCACGACGACGTCGACGACCGACGACGATGACGACGACCGACGACGGCGACGACGATGACGACGGTCGACGAAGACGACGACAGACGACGGCCGACGACGCCGACGAACGACGACGACGACGACCACGATGACGACGACGACCGACGACGACGACGACGGCCAACGACGACGACGGCACAGACGACGACGATGACGACGACAACGGCCGACGGCGACGACGACGACGACGACGGTCGACGACGTCGACGACCGTCGACGACGACAGCGGCGACGGCGACGCACGCGACGACGACGATGGTTGCCGACAACGACGGCTACGACGACGACCACGACGACCGACAACGACCACGACGACCACGAGGGTCGACGAATGCCGACGACGACGACGACGACGGTGGACGTTGACGACAACGAAGACGACGAAGGCCGATGACGGCCGACGACGTTGATGGTAACGAAGACGGACGACGACGTCGACGAGCACGACAACCGACGAGGACGGCGACCGACGACCGACGTTGACGACGACGACGACCACGATGGCCGTTGCCTGCCGACGACTACTGACGTCGTTGACCACAACGACGACGACCGACGCCGGCGACGACGACGACGACCACGACGACGACAACGACGACGACCTCGACGACGACGATGACTGCCGACAACGACGGCGACGACGACGACGATTACGGCCGACAGCGACGACGACGGCCGACGATGACGACGACGATGACGTCGAACGACGTTGACGACAGCGACGACGACGACCAGCGACGACGTCGACGAAAACGACGACCGACGACGGCCGACGACGTTGACGATGACGAAGACGCATGACAACGAAAACCACGACGATGACGACGATGACTGCCGATGGTGCCGACAACGGCAGCGTCGACCACGACGACGACGCCGATTACGTTGAAGATCGATGACAGCGACGACGACGATGTTCACGATGATGTCGATGATGGACAAAAGGCGGCGACCACGACGTCGACAACGACCCACGACGATGACCACGGACGACGACGACCACGACTGCGACGACGACGACGACGACGAGAACGTGAGGACGACGACGACGGCCGAAGACGACCCCCACGATGACGACGATGATGTCGCAGGACGACGACGACGACGACGACGACGGCCGACCGCCACGACGACAACCACGACGACGGACGACCACCGCCACGATGACAACGTCGACTGGCCGACGGGCCGACGACCACGACGGCGACGACGGCGGTGACCGACGACGGCGACGACGACGACGGCCGACGACGACGACGACGATGGACGACGACGACGATGACGACGACTGCGGCTACGACGACAACGACGATCATGACGACGACGACCACTGCGACTGCCCCGACGACGACGGCCGACGACAGCGGCGACGACGGCGGCCGACGACGACGACGATGACAACGACGGCCGACGACGACGACGACGACGGCCCACGATGACGACGGACGACGACGACGACGACGACGACGACGACGACGACGGCGGCAAACGACGACCGGCGACGACGAACGACGACGACGACAACGACGACGACGCCGACGACTTGCGACGACGACGACAACGGCCGACGACGACGATGAAGACGACGACAATGTCGATGACGCCGACGACTTGCGACGACGACGACATCGGCCGACGACGATGATGTCGACGACAACGACGGCCGACGACGACGACGACCGACGACGGCCGACGGCGACGACGACGACGACGGCGATGAAAGCGACGACGACGACCGACGACGACGACAGCGGCGACAACGACCTTGACGACGATGACGGACGACGACGAGGGCGATCACGACGACGACGCCGACGACTGACGACGACGACGGTGACGACGATGATGGTCGATCGTCGACGATGACGACGTCGACTACGACCACTTTGACTACGACCACGACGACGTTGACGACAAGTTTGACGATGACAGCCGACAATGGCGACGACGACGATGACGGCGGCGACGACGGCCGACGACAACGACGACGACCACGACGACGACGATGACGGCCAACGATGACGTCGACGACGGCGACGGCCAGCGACGACGACGACGACGACGACGACGGACGGCGACGACGGACGACGACGCCGACGAGGACGACCACGCTGACGACGACGACGATAACGGCCGACGATGACGAAGGCCGACGACCACGACGACCATGACGACAACGTCGACCGACGATGACGACGACGGCGACGGTGGCCGCCGACGACCGCCACGGCGACGACGACGGACGACGACGACGGCGACGATAACGGTCGACGATGACGACGACGACCACGACGACGATGACGACGACGACGACGACGGACGACCACGACGACCACGACGGTGACTACGACGACGACATCGACGACGACGGCGACCGACGACGACGATGACGACGACGACAACGAAGGCCGATGACGACGACGACGGACGACGACTTCGCCGTCGACGACGACGACGGCCGACGACGACGACGGCCGACGATGCCGACGATGACCTCGACGACGACGACGTCGACGACGACGACGACAACTACGGCGGCCGCGACGACCTTGACGACGACGACGAAGACGAAGACGACGACGACGACGGCGACGGCGACGACCGATAAAATTGTCTCCGTGGTCGCCATTTTTTGGGAACGCGCCAACTCTGGCCAGTCCTTGGGCCTCAGATGGGCCCCTTAGCCCATGCGTTCCCCGCCTCCGCCCCTCCGGGACGCCGCCGACGCCGCACAATTACGGCGACCACGATGACGACTGCCGAACACGACGACGACGGCGACAGACGACGATGACGCCGACCATCGACGAAGACGACGACGACGACGGCGGCAGCGACGACGACGACGACTGCTGACGACGGCTGCGACGACGACATCGCGCCCTCCCTTCCCGCACGCAGGTGCTGGTGGGAGGCGTCTAGGTCCAGCCGCATCACGTTCCGTGAGGGGATGACCGCCGTGCACGAGGCCAGCGCCGAGCCGGGGAAGGTCGGCGCCGTCGTCGGCGGCGGCGGCGGCATCGGCGTCGTGGTCGTGGTCGTGGTCATGGTCATGGTCATGGTTGCGGTGGTCGTGGTGGTGGTCGTGGTCGTTGTCGTGGTGGTCGTGGTGGTCGTGGTCATTGTCGTGGTGGTCGTTGTGGTCGTTGTCGTGGTGGTCGTGGCGGTCGTGGTCGTGTCGTGGTCGTGTTCGTGGTCGTAGTCGCTGTGGTCGTTGTGGCGGAAGTCGTCGTCGTCGTCAACGTCGTCGTCGTCGTCGTCGTTTTGTGTTTTTTGTTGGTGCTTCTGTCGGCGGAGGCCATCAGTCCACACGGAGGAAGTCCCTACGGAGTGCTCCATTTCCGTATGGACTTACTCCGTCTGGACTTACAGTGGAGGCCCATGCCAGGAAACACCCTGCTGGCCTCCAGGGTGCCCTGGGTTCTTGGGTCTCGATGGTTCTGCCATAGAGGTCGTGACGTTCCCACACCAAAATCCCACGGACGTCCCGGGATTCCAGGGCTGGGTTTCTTGGGAAGGTTTCTTGTGGTCGAGCCCCTATTGTAGCCCCTCCTGATAGCAGGCTAAGTCCATACGGAGGAAGTCAATTCAGCGTGCTCGGGCTCCGTCGGGACGCACTCCGCCGGGATTTCGCCCCTCCCGAGTCTGGGCGCTCTCGTCGCCACAGCCAGGCGCGGCTCGGAAGATTGGCCTTTTGGGAGGAGGAGGAGGAGGAGGAGGAGGAGGAGGAGGAGGAGGAGGAGGAGGAAGAGGAGGGGGAGGAGGAGGAGGAGGAGGGGGAGGAGGAGGAGGAGAAGAAATAAGAATAAGAAGAATAAGAAGAATACGAAAAAGAAGATGACGAAAAATAATAAGAATAGTAATAAGAATGTGAATGCTATTAATAATATGAATAAGAATAAGAATAATCATAATAATAGTAATAATAATACTAATAAGACTAATAATAACAGTCATAATAATTAGAAGAAAAAGAATAATAATACTATTACGAATAAGAAGAATACCATTACGAATAAGAAGAATATAATAATAATCAGAAGAAGCAGAACAATACTAAGGAAAGTAATCAGAATAATACTAATAATAATAAGAAGACGAAACACATAATAATAAGAAGAAGAAGAGGAGGAGGAGGAGGAGGAGGAGGAGGAGGAGGAGGAGGAGGAGGAGGGGGAGGAGGAGGGAGGAGGAGGATTTTTGGATTGCGCTCTGATTCGCCGAGGAGGCGGGCAGCTTGGTGCGGCACTAACTAGCTGCTGGCAGAAACACGCGGTGTCTAGCAGCAAGGGCGCCAAGGTTTGGTGAAACTCCCCGCCCCCGTCACCTAACCCGCTACCACCCCCATATTGTCGAAAAGCGCCCAAGGCGCATTGCAACGCAACAGGAGTAGGGAGAAAGGCAAGAGGAGGCATATCAAAGAGGGGAACAGGTGAGACGGCCTGCAAAAAACCCAAAAGGCAGCTAGGTGGGCGTGTACGAGGCAGGGGCCCGCGGATGTGCAATATTTTCGCACGCTCGACCTGTTTCCCATGCCTTCACCGCCGCAGTGCGAACTACGTCCCCGCCAACAAACCTATACCCAGGGGAAGTGGGGAAGGTGAAACGGCCTGGCTTGTCCGATGCGCGGGCATGGCCCGCGCGCGTGTCTGACCGCCCCGAAGGAGGTTCGCCGTACCTGGTACGGCGCCCGAAACCTCTCGACCTGGGCAAGAGAGGCAAGCATCAAGAGGCAAGAGAGGCTGATGAAAAGGCAGCTGAGTGGGGTGCCGGGGCGAGGCAGGGGCCAGCGGGGGTGCACGATTCTCGCGCGCTCGGCCTGCGGCCAGTGCCTGCTCCAACGCCACAGTATAAACCCCTTCCCCGTCAACGTGCCAGTCCCGCCCCCGGTCCCGACCATGGTAAGCTGAAGGCTGGGTGAGATGGCCTGGCGAGCCCGATGCGCGGGCGCGGGCAGGCGCGCGTGCCTGCCCGCCCCCAGAGAGGTTCGCTGCACAAGGTACGGCGTCCGAAACCTCTCGAACTAGGGCGGCGGCTGGAGACACAACGGAGGGAGAAGCGCCGAGATCGTAACCGAGGCAAAGACGGCAGCAACCGCATGGTCCTGAGTCATCATGCAATAGGTCCCCCGGTGTTGCATGCCAACAGAGAGCGGGCGGACAGAGAGAGGTGGCTGAAAGAGGCGGCACAGAAGACAGCGGCAACTGGCTATTCTGCACCTCCACTTCTCCGCGCAAAACTGAGCAACAACCCCCGACGTCTCATGATAGATGGCAGCAACTTATCCAAGCAAGCCTTTGGCAAAATTAAGATCCAGGGTCCAAGGGGCTACTTCGCGCGAGCGAGCCTGTCTCTCTTCCTGGAGTTTAGCAGCCCTTCTGTTACGTGCCTGCGCACGGTTCTGCGCAGTGCGCTCCAATGATTCGGGCGCTAGCGGCGCAGGGGCGGGCGGGAGGGGTGATCTGTTTCCCTCTGCGAGTCGCCAAGAAAAGCACGTGCCTCGACATACTCCTGCTCCGCATCAGCCTCAGGCGGGCCTGTGGGTCTAACCTCCGCCATGCCATCGCGAACCTGCGAGGCGGCAGAGGTGGCCAGATCTGATTTCGGAGGGACATGTAGCGGTCGAAAGCGATCAAGCTCGGGGTCGCGTCGGACACGGCGTGTGCGCCGAGGAGCGAAGTCAGGGGCCCATCCCTCGTCTGCCAGAATGGGGATCCCAGGAGACAAGGAAGCGTAGCAGTCCGTCACGTACTCTACCATCCTCCCCCATGTCGCCTGGACTACTGTCCACATCCCCAGCCCACGTGGCACGTGCTGCATCGGCGGTGGCAGCGGCGATGCACTTGCACAAGTCGGCGGGGTGCGTCTTCTTCTTCTTCTTGGCTGTGCGCGCGCCACTCCCTCCTATCCCTATCATGCCCAAGAAGCGTTTCGTGTCCGCCCCTGCCGTGCGAACATTTGCGGCTTCCAAGGGTCGCAAGCAGGGCGGCGTGCAGCCCTGGCAGTCTAAGTGCAACGATCCTAGTGCGGGCCCGTGACGTCTGACCACGTTCACACTGATCAAACTCGGTCGTCGAGACTGCTGGGGGCGACCAGAGAGCGCGCGTCGAATGGCCGGTAAACGAGCTGACGGCTTGAAGTCTCCATTCGCACGGCCGGGGGTGCTCAAGCCAACGCGACGTCCCAGCCTGCATATGTGCGGCGAAGGGCTCAATCATCGCATGGTATAGCGCATTGCCCACCCACGGCTGTTCCAACTGACGCTCAGTAACTGCCGTCTTGCCCCAAAATTGGTCATGCGTGCGCAGTGGCGGTGGGCCTTGGCCCCCTGCCCATCGAGAGGCAGACCAGGTCTCGCGCGGAGGCCCGCCGCCCGACACCGCCGCCCGTCGTGCAAGGATGCGAGACCTCCATTCTGCAAGTGTGTCCCGATTCATGAGATCCCCATTCACTGCGTGTATGGCTATATCCACCGAAAGAACATATATCGCATATGCTGAGCTATAGTGCCCCCTCCCATTCAACTTGTGCCTGCGCATCCCCCGCCCTCCTCCGTCCAAAAAACAAATTCAGAACAGAGTATTTAACTCGTCTGACGGCCCTCGGCATGGGCTCGGCTGCAATGCCAGTGTGCCGTTCTGTCAAGAACAGACGACTGGGGCATCTCTCTGCGGTGCACTGCACATGGCTGGCCGGCGGCGGCGGCGCAACGGCGGCATTCACAGGAGCTTGTGGGCAAGCAGCGAGCCCGGCTGGGAGAGCGGGGTCAGCGGCCGCAATCTCCAAACGTGCAATGCCATGGCCCATCGTAGCCATCACTGTAGACGCATGCTGTGTGATGGGGCCAGCTGCGCGAACTGTCGGCGCAACAGCGCGACGGCGAGACACCTGCGCACCTGGGATCTTGCCTGTCATGGGGGCTGAGAAATCGGGATGTGTGATGTGCTGCCACGACGCAGCTCCTGAAATAGTAACACCTGGTGCAGCAACTGCCGTGGTAGGGTCACTCATCAGTATAAAGAAACACCGTGGGGAATCACGTGCCAGGTGATCCACTAGGTGTGTCCGAGCGTGAAATGCAGACAGACCTGCGTGACATTGTCCGTCTGGTGACGCCCGTGCGCGTGCCAGAGCTGCGTTCTGACGGTGGGTACGCGCCGCGTGCGCGCGTAATGCGCCATGCTTTCGGAAAGCGCGCACACGCCATGGACGCTTGACACTGTCATCTTCTGTGTCGTCTGCTGCGCGTGTAGGTCTACAAGAAGTCCATTAACGTCCGTCCAAACACGTTCTGGCACTCCCAGGGGGCGGACATCCAGAAAAACAGCGGCCTCCGCTATGGCAGCCTCGGCACTTCGAGCATGAGATTGGACCGTGGCGTGCGGCGCCGTCTTGCACGCGCGTTTCCAAGCTATTTGACTTCGTGGAGTGAGGGGCTCCCGTCCATTGAAATCCTCAAGCGCTGGCTGGAGGGAAGCACAAGCTACGGCGGCAGCACGTGACCACGAGCAATCATCCATGACCATTGCCAGCCATGTCCTGGCACGGCAACCGTTGTGAGTAGCGTCGTGCCACTCGGCCCGTTGCAAGGTGCAAACCAGTTGGGGCCCTGTGTGCAATGCTGGACCCAGCAGTCGCAAACGTGCAGCTCTTCTTAGAACGTCGGGCGGGGGTCTTCTGAGTCTGGCCAGCACTTGACCATCGCTTATTCACGGTTCGGCTTCCGCAAGAAGAACCTCCGCCGCCGCTCGGTATATTTCCATGACTTCAGCGTCGGCCATTTTGGCCTCCGCCGTTGTTCGCGTAGCCCAGGCGCCCGGGTTGTAGAGGCGCCCCGATAACGCAATACTGTCGGCGAACATCATGCATGTCGGGTCGGCAAGAGCCTTGGTGGAGAAAACCCAAGTGCGCAACGCCCGCAAATTAGCTGTGGTACTGCTGGCTCGATGCCGGACCTCGGGCCCCATGTTACCCTGGGAATCAATAGCT